GCACGTTACATAAGAGATATCAACAAGTGCAACTGGTGCATTCGTATCATTTCAGGCATTCTCATCACGTTCGCGGAGAACGAGAATGTCGTTGAGGTTCCGGCGGGATCCTCGGCGCAGATAATGTGCCAGGCAAAGTCACCGGTACGCGAATGCCAGTGGTCCTGGCGGCAATTGAACCAATCGCAGCCCTGGAACCTCGACGTGAAATCGTTTCCAGCCTTCGGTAATGACAGCACGGAATGCAGTATCAAGTTCAAGAACGTCCTGCCGGAGCAGGAAGGCTACTGGACCTGTGGTGCGCGAATCAATCCGAATTCCTCGTTCACCCAGGCGTCTCCCGTTCGATTTCTCATATCGGAAGGTATCTAGTTATTTATGCATCCTGCATGATAATAAAAAAAAAAATAGGAAAAAAATAGTTTGTCGACTGTACCGAAATGAATGAATCAGAAACTATCAGATTTCTGTTTAAATTAATCAGAAATCTTGTTAGTTTAAACCGAATTCTAATAACTTTAACTGAAATTTCTGACTCGTTTATCTCTGAATCAGATTTTTGCCAATCAAACTATTTTTTCCGTCATATCGACACAAATTGACTGCAATTTTTCGTTCAAAATGTTGCATAACAAATAATTGAAAATGCAAAAAAATATAGAAACTATAACTTTTTATACATTTTATAATTTATCAGAGTTAATATTTTAGTTTAATAAATTAATTTTAGAAATTTTAAATAATCGAAAGGAGGGTTCAGGCGTTCCTGAATTGACAAGGCAAATAATATGATTGTCATGACATTTGGAAATAATACAATTTAGTGAATAATACCTTTTACGAATGACCTTCTTCTTACGTATTAAAAATTTTTGAATTTGTGACAATTAATTTTATCGGGCATTAAAAAAATACTTTAGTGCCTTCTTCGCGTCACGATCGAACTCTGACCGATCCGCTTGTGGCTTGAAAAACCAACGAGGAGCTTTCGTTTCCCTTTTACAGTCGAGTTCGTGCAGTTGTCACGCGGCGTACAGGTCGCCGCCGGAGAATCCGTCTTTCTTCGATGCTTGGCGAACAAGCCGGTGGTACAGTGCGAGTGGTCGTGGAGGGCGTCGAACTCGAGCAAGGAACCGCTGCTGGTGAAGAAATTCAGTCCAAACAAGGACGCCGAACACGACTGTTCCGTACGATTCAAGAACATACTGTACGAGGAGGAAGGTCTGTGGACCTGCGGGGTCCGTCTGACACCAGACGGTATCCTGCACACGGCGCCTGCGGCGACTGTCAGCCTCCTGCCTACAGGTAACGCGATGTTAATTAAATAGATAAATCTGAATCCCAAACTCCCCTCCCCCCCCCCCGTCCCGCAATCGTTATCGACCATCTGATCCGAGTGCGCAGCGCCAAAAATGCGAAAAAATATTCGTGCAAATATTCGTGGTAACATTTCGCGTAATTACGAATGGAATGAATATCCTGGCGTGAGATGATGTGAAAATTGATTACTCGCATGTAAAAAGACACTAAAGCAGGTTTGAGCGCCCGCCGAGTAAATGCGATGTCACCATCCGTTCCTTCCACGATTTCGCCCGTGGCGAATTTAATTTTTTATTCGCAGACGTTCGCGCGAAAATGACAATGTCACAAATTCGGGTAAATCATCCGAAGATAGAAAAGTATTTTTTTTCTCTTAAAATTTAAAGGTTTTTTTTTTAGATTTCTTTTTATAGTTAGTTAAAATTTATTCATAATAAAATTTAAAAGATTTTTTCTACTTTAATATTATTATAAATCCAATATTTCTCTCTCAAGAAATTTTTAAAATTTTACATATTTTTCCGTCACTCTTTTCTAATTCAATAATTATTCTTGTAGATAATTAGCTTTATCTTTCTACGCTAAGAAATTCAATGTATCATTACGTAATACCAGCTGTTTTAAGCACTCGTATGCTGCCTATCTATCTAACAGTAGATTAAAATGCGAGACTACATGCGTTAAATTTAACTATAATCAATGGAAAAGAAGTGATGTAGAATTCAGTACGCTTTCGTATATAAATTCGATGTCGGAATTCCCTGTATTTTGTATAATTCGATTACACTTTCCCTCCATACATTTCACCTTTCTCTCGCGTTTCGCCTAATTTATATAGTCTTATGCTCAGCGGGAATTAATCGTAACATTAGGACTGCAATTGTATAATTTAATAACGTAATGATTAATCAAATTCAATTCCATCTAATTTTACATTCTCGGAAAAGCACATTATTGATTAAAACTAAGAAGCTATTAAATTATTTTATTTAACAAAAAGTTTGATAAAATAATATGTAATACATAAATAATATATACATTTTTCAATATACATTTTTCGTTAAACTTTCTTAAATTTTTTTTTATTTGTTACAGTATTATCTATTTTAGAAAAAAGCGGAAATGTTTTTACAAAATTGAGTGTCCCAAATTTTTCAGTTTCCAAAATTTCTTTATTTAAAATTCACGCAACAGAGCATTTATCGTTTAATATTTTGGAACATTGTAGAAAATCGTGATTTTTCTTCTTGATAAAAAAAAATAGTATTCGTACAAAAGATTACTTTCCCCAGACTCAGACAGACTGTTTTTCCGCGATTTTTAGCGTCTAATCGCGCAATTTTTCTTATCGCGACCGATTCCAGCTAAGGTGAGCTTCGTCGAAGTGCCGACGGACACGGCGGTACCAACAGGCACGGAGGCCATTCTGAAATGCATCACTAGCAGCCGCGTGGAGAAATGCGTGTGGAATTGGAGGCCGCTACACGGTAGCGACCCGGAGATCGTCCTCGACGAGTTCCCGAGCAACGGGGACCTCGGTCGCGACTGCTCGCTTCAACTTCCGCACGTGTACGCGGAGAAACAGGGTCACTGGAGCTGCCAAGTGTCCATCACGTCGCTCAATACCGTCCTGACGTCACCATCCGCGAAGCTCACAGTCTACGAGCAAGGTAAAGGATATCCTTCGCGATTTTTTCTTTTTCTTCTTTTTTTTTTTTTTTTTTTTTTTAATTTTTATTTTTGTATTTTTATCTCTCCTTGCAGACGAAGTGAAATTCTCGGAGCTGTCGCAGGACATACAGATCTCGTCCGGCGGCAGCGTCCTGCTGCGCTGCGTGATGTCCTCGGCGGTGGATCAATGCCGGTGGTCGCTCACCCCGGTCAATTCCAACACCACAGTGGTTGTAAAGCAATTCCCGGCGGCCGGAAACGAGGCCCGCGACTGCAGCGTCCGTCTGAGCCACGCTCTAGCCGAGCAAGAGGGACTCTGGACCTGCGGCGCTAGGATACACGGCCGGCAGAATTACACGGATGCACCCCCCGCGAAGCTGACTCTCCTCGAACCAGGTATCATCGAGACCTAAGATCCGCTCGGTCGGCCTAAGTGCCGCTTCTCCACCGCCACGGTGAAGGGTGGAAGCACCATTAATCGATCATTCCGCGCGATTCCGATTTGCGTTCGGCCTGGGCCTAAATTGTAGCGAGTTGATAAAATCACCAATCGAATGCTATAAACTGCGAAGGATCCAAGTGTACTCCGGGGACCACGAAGGACTCGAGTCAAGTACTCCGTGCTTGCCTATTTTCCAGATCGCGATTCGTCTATGTAGCAGGAAGTCGTGCGAAGTCGCCGCTTTGCGATACTTAGATCCTTCTTTACCGTGATTTACAGTGTTCGATCATTGTAACAAATGTTCACGCATGTTCACTCGTCCAACGTGCGGAAATCACAATCAATTTAAAACGTCATTGACCATCAAGATTTTGATTCGCTGAGTTCTCGATAATTTAATCCGTGATTGAAACGGATGGTGAATGACGTACCGTGCGAGTGTCCATCAATTGTTTCATTGGAGACGGCTTTATCATTGAACACGTATTGTGCCTACGGGGAGGGCGTCGCATTAGACTACAATAAATTATCTCCGAGTGCCTCGCGTGAGAAAGACCTCGCGTGCAAGAGGCGCACGTAAGGACCTTGCATATGCGAGCCGTCACGGTTAAAAAGGACCTCTCGCGTGTGGAAGGACTTTGGTTCTACTCATCAGGCGTCTGTTTCATGAAACTCAAATTGACAGACGGCAGATAACGAGAACTCTATCACGTAACATGACAGATATCATTGATATTAAAATTTTTCGATATTTCTCATCCCGAATTCTCAGATTATATTCATGTCATTTTCATGTCAAGTCGTTCTGTCAAGCTTCATGAAAAATAATGTTGTAAAATTGTTGCCCGAAAGCCTGGCCTAGAGTCGCGTTCTCTGCATTCGATCGATTAAAGCAAAATCGTAGGACACATATATTATATTACGTTTCAGGATCCGTAGCCCATTATCTGTTGCGACGACTATCGCAACCGACTATCGCGATCGCGAGTGCACCAAGGCGAGATGTACATTGAACACGTTGCCGCGTATGTGTGTACATAAGTGTAGGCCATGGATCCTGACGCACGTCTTTGCAATCTGCGTAGATGAAGCTTCACGGCACAAACATCGTTTGGACGGCCCCATGTCGTAGCGAGCTAATAATTGGAAAGCATTATTAAACAAAATTAGTAAGTTGTCAAGTTGAATTAGCATGTTTTCGGCTCTTCTACAAAATTCGAGGTTGATTTTGAAAAAATTCAAAATTATATATAAAATTTTGCATGATATGGACTTGATCTTTCCAAATGAACTACTTCCGACTGGTTTCAAGCTTCTAAGTAATTTGGCATCTCTCTTTGGAGGTAAACAAGATTTCAATTTCAATATTTGCGAAGTTGGTTCACGGCGATGATCCCTCGTTACGGTTACTTAGCCGTCCAAAATAAATCTCATCATCCCCCACATCTGTGTGTGCGTCCTGAGTAGCGAGGATCTATGCTCGATAACGGAGTGATGCCGGAGAGCAATCGGCCGGGATTTGCCGGTAAAAAAAGTGAAAGTATCCGATCGAGCGTGGATCCTCGAATGTCCTGAAAACTTTGTTGGATGGGAGGTGACGGATCTGCATGTCGATGAAGCTTCATGTCACTAGATTAGATGTGGAAGCGCAAGTGTTTGTGTGTGTCGCTGTGTCTGCTGGGTCGTCCGCCGCTCATCGGCGGCCGTCCACGTGTGTGCTAGAGAAATAACCGCGATCGATTTTATTGTATCCATAGGAGGATGCCGTGTGAGAACGATCTTACGCGATCGTTTCGTTGATTAAGTTGTGTCACTTGTTTCAGCGCGCGGCGCTTAGAAGGATAGTCAAATCCTTTCGAAAGAACGTCTAAGATAACAATTTTCGTGTTCTGTCTGGGTATCAGGTGACGTCATATCTCATTAAGTGGGACAAAACAACATAACAAAATCCAGAAACTACCAATTTTTTACGCATACACATTTTTAACGATCAAGTACATGCACATTTATTTGAAAAAAAAAAAAGAGAATTTTACGTTTAAATTTGTTGGATTTTGTATATTTTTTGATCTTAGAACTTAAATCTTTAAAAATTTTACAAAGAATTGCTAAACATTTTCGGAAATTCTCCTTCCTGTTTAATTTTTCCATGTTGCAATTTGACAAAAAAGCTGCAATCTTACGATCGTTTTATAATTTTTCGAGTAGAAAATAAATCGTAAAATGAACAAAGAATATAATATTGAAACCAGAATAACTGGAACTAGAAATCCAGTTACTGATAATTTTTAATTCTATTTCTAAAGTTTGTCTTGTTTTTGGAAAAAGAAGTTTATTAAAAAATACTATTTTTATAAAAATAATATTTTTATTATATATAAAAATATTTAACTGCGTCTGAACTTAGCGTACAGAAAGTATTTTAAAATAGAATTTGATCACGTTAAACTCTCTCTTTCTGTTGAGACGTGAAAACGTGAAAACGCATTTTTCTACGTTTTTAGAGATAACTCCTTGCAAGTATACATTTTTTTATGTCATGCACATAAAGATTGCAAAGTTATCATTCGAGTACGTCAGTGTCATCGTTTTGTGCTTTATCGCCGCACGTGGTATCCATTTTTAATTTAATTACGTTGTCGTGCATTTGCATTTATTAGCGGTTAAATCATCACTAACGGTAGTGTCGCCGTTGCCATTCTTCACTCGCGATTCTCCGATAAACCACGAGATTTATCGATTCGTCGTCTGGCAAACCACAAATTAACAATCCTGTCGGCTTTCCTTGTTATGTGATTAAGGAGGCTTCGTACACATGCGTCGTAATTAATTGTGAATTTTTTTCCATAATAATGATTCATCCACGCCATTCATTCGCGCCATTATTATACGGTTATCATATCGTTAGATCATTCTTTATCTCTTGTACTTAATTATATGGCTATGAATTAAAAACATTTCAGCTGAAAAGTTACGCAGAAATAGATGTGTTTTTAGATAAAATTGGAATCTTTTTATGTTACAACACATCTGTCTTCAATCTGTAATAAAAATAATAATGAGATAATAAGAAAGAAGAGCTTATAAAAATGTGTGAAACGAGATTAAATAAATTATATTGATACATTGTTTAGTATTATAATGGAATAGTCATCTTGTTAATGTAAGATGAAAATGAGACGGTTATTAAATTTGTCATTTTGCACTTGTTCTTGATTGATATGTCAAATTGTATATTTTATTAAAAATATTCATTATCAACAATGCCCTTTTTGTTTATATTCTCAAAAGTGAGACTGCGTTCAAATGAGATTTTGCATTTAGTTAATATTCTACCAAACAAATCAATTTTTTATACAATTGTTTATATAAAAAAAATATTCCAAACAAAAATTGTACACATGCCTTGTATCATGTTATAAATTTTTACATGTTGCGAAGTAACTAAAAGATTGAACAACTTTTAATCTTTCATCTTTTGTTTAAATAGTCTCTTTTATCAGTTCCAACAGTGTTATAATGAATTTACAATAAAATAATAACTGTTTATATTATTGTATTTCTCTAATAATTGAGAACATAATTATTAGGATGTGCTCTTGTTAAAATGCATATATTTTGTACATGAAAAATTAACAAAACCGATAAATAAGTCACAAATTAATAAAAACTTGTTTAAAAAGATGAATATTAAATGACAGATGACAGATAAATTTACATGAGCACTTTTAATATTGCTGGCTGCGTTTGTCATTACATTTCTCATTATTTATTATAGAAAGTCATCATTTTTAAGTTAACCTAATGCTTTTATGTTTCATCGCGTTTACTGCTTTACTCATGACCGATTCTGATACACGTCCGTTATACACGATAACATAATTATCAGTATGACTAGCCGCTAGTGCATTTAGTACTAAGTAGGCAATTCTTAGTATTAAGTTTTTAGCGTTCAGAAAATTCATGCTCCCGATGAGTAAGTCGCTCAGTTTGTTGATCGTTAGTGCAAAGATGTCATTATTTAAATTTCCAACATCTTTATCTAGGTAAATTTCTTCCTGAGCTGTAAGATTTAAACTTTATGTCACAGAATTTTAAATAGACCTATTTAACAATTAGACCTATTTAAAATTTAAAACGATAATCTAAAACGATAAAATTTCTGTAATTAAATCAAGACAATTTAATTAACAATTCCGGTCTCAATCAACGCAGATGTTATATTTTATAAACAATTATGATGATAAAATATGCACGTGATCAGATTGATTTGAGCGGCGACTCACTCGCAGAGCGTATGAATCTTCATGTGCCATTAAGTATCGTTAAGCCCGCGAGATATTTCGCGTGTTCTCAAGCTCGTTCTGAGTTGCTGTAAACTGTTTTTCTTTTTTTGTCTAAATAAACAGTAGTGCAAAACCGTCATTTCCTTTTCATTTCCATCATCTCATTATTAGGTTATTATTAACTACATTACAGTTGAAGCCGGAGGAGCCCTTAATTTTAAAGCGAGCTATAACTTTAAGCTATACAATGCATATAGTGATAATTAATCAAAGATGTCCACGGAAAAATATTACAGGCGCTAATTTCTAACAAGAATTACAAACTTCACGAAGGACTCACGTAATTGTTATATTTAATGAAATAACTTTTACACAATGCAATCGTGACGTCAAGAATTAGATAATATCTGATAATATATATAGATCACTGTCTTCACTAACTTCACATTTTAATACAAAAATTGATTTTGTTATATGTATTTAAGTATAATTTTAGTTTTATTGTAATATTTTTATATTGTATCACGTATATTATTACTTTTATATTTTTATTTAAGTATTACTTCATTTTTATTTCATTAATTTAGAATTTAATAGAATAGAATTTATTATGGAATTTATTTATGGATATTTACGATAAGATATTTGAGAACATCTAACAAGTATGGCGCTTGAAATTTCTTCCGGGATTTCTCCTATTTCATTAACACACGCGAGATGCAACGCTGCACAATCTAACGTGATTCAAACACTTATCAAGTTTGCGAAAGCCATCGATGCACAAGCAAATGGTGGTTGGTAATCAAGGTGATTCACATGTTGGATAATCTGCACCGGAGATTTAGCGGCTTTGGGTGAGTGGGAAAAAAAAATTAAAAAAAAGACCTTTCTCCTAACGACCTCAAAAAATCCATATTGTGAAAGCAAATTTAGCTACAGAATAAAAAAATAACGTAATTGTACACCTTTAGTAGAGCTTATGAAAAATTCGAGAGCTTATTGCTACAACAATAATCAAAATTATTCGTCAAGATAATATTTTATCGATATGATTGAATATTTTATCGATTTATTGATAAATAACATGGATTTTGGTAGATCCTTGAGGCTGCAAGGATTAAAAAGGAAATCCAATTCAGGAGATATCGATCATTTTTAGAGCCCGTTACTATCGCGGTTTGGGCCGCGCCCCACAAAATGGTCACTCTTGCATGCAGAGTCGGATCTGTCTCGTCGGAGGCCAGATGCCATTGGATCCACGCACCACAAATTCATATACATCAAAATTCCAGCAAGCTTGCAAAAAAAACGAGGTAATACCTTTTCACATATTAATTTTCTATAATTTATTTCTATTTGCCTGACACATTTCCTTTATGTTGTAGACACAACGTGCAAATGGATTACAACACGGGTATATGTAAACTAGTCTTCAAACCGGATCATTCCGATCTGGGACAATGGACCTGTAGATTTACTGTCAACAATGACAACACCGACATCGAAATAGGAAACGCGACACTCGTTCTGCTAAACAGTTTAACAGGTTGAAGTCTTAATATTTCGTTAAAAATTCAGTTATTTGTTATCTTCATATTTCCATATTTCTTTTAAAATAAATGTTATCGTTGTGCTATTTTATATAATTTTCTCGTGTTATAAAAGATAATTTTTTATATTTTGTGTCATATACAGATGAAAAATTAGGATGGATTGTGGGCACCTTAACGGCTGTGATTCTGTTCCTGATGATAATAGTAGTAGTGCTGGTTGTATGCAAAGCGCGAATCTTTGTCCGTAAGACATCTGAAGTCTTGGAAACCTTACCTCCCGGCGAAAGGAAACAGAAAGCGAGATCGTGCGGTGAGAAGAATACTGAGAATCAAGAGAATCAAGGGAAGATTAACTTTCAGTTCGTTGAAGACGAAGACAGGAGTCATACATCATCCATCGAGAGCGTTTTACCTAACAGAAGTCCACGTGTGGAAAAGAATTACGGACCAAAATCTATGAGAATGTTGGATTAAAATTGTAATTATTAAGATTTGGATTAGAGAAACAAAAAGCTACAATTTGTAAAAATTAAACATATGAAAATTCAATATGAAAATTATAAATAAAATAAAATAAAATACAAATTATATATAAATAAAAATCTCGACGTTATAAAATTGTTTTAACTGAATTAAAAACGAAATCATAATTTTAACCCTTAAAATACCAATTATACCTTATTTGTCATGAATATCTTATGTCCGACAACTTTTTCACTTATTTAAAGCAATTAAAAAAAATTGCAAAAAATTCGTGAACATTCTTTCAACTTTCTAAAATAAATGTTTATACTTCATTTTCATTTCAATATTCATATTTCATTTAAAAAAAATAAAATGTAATAGTTAATTACTGAAAATTAGTCAAGAATCAGATAAAATCGAATAAAAGTGTTCTTTCATTTATAAAAAATTGTTATTAAAAATTGTAACATTTTAATTGTAACATTTAATTGTAACATTTTAATTTTGCTGATCAAATCCATTTTTCCTGTAGTAATAAGGAATTTTTCTGAGAAAAATAATTTTTAAATAAAATCATTCAATCATTCATTTAGAGTAAAAATAACATACTCATAATTTAATTGATGATTTTTATAACAATATTATTTGACACAAACAGTATTTTCATGGATCATATGCGTCCGCTGTAAAATTTAATTCTATTGTTTCAAGCTACCGAATAGCTAACGAATAGCCTCAGCACATAGAAGTCTTCCTCATCACCATCTTATTTTAGATGCGAAAGAATGGGAGACTTTTCGAACTTCCGACAAACTTTCATAAATAGAAATCGAATACGAAATACTCATATTGAATTAAATAGTTATTTTCATTGATTATCAAAAAAAGATATACATTTCTGATACATCTTACAAATCTATTCTA